GTGTTATCCAGAATTGTGTCCGGTAGTTGTTTCCTCTCCTCTTCAGATACCGGTATGGTACTGGCCGGTAACTCATACGAGAGCCAACTTGAATCCATCATGTCCGGCACGTCAGAGGGTTTCTCAAGAATCCTACATATGACGCCATGTGAATCGGGCTCTTGAATGGTGGGAGGGACCTCTTCAACGATGACAGTGGCCTCTTGAACGGTGGGAGGGGACTCTCGAGGAATGATAGGGGCCTCTTCAACGATAGGAGTGGACTCTTGAGGGATGATAGGCGAGTCGGGCTTCTTCTTGCGGTGTCTTCGCACTATTGGGGTATACGGAGACTTAATAGCACGTGCACGCCGTCTGATGCGTAAACTCTGTCGTGCAAGAAAAACCCGACGTAAAGCATCCACCTTATCGGTCCGCTAAATAAAAATACAAATATCAGTAAATAAACAGACATGATATTTAAACAGTGAAAACAAAGATAAATATATTTCAAACTTTCAACCACAAGACAAAACAAAGACAAATACTAACTTCACAGTGTTAAAGTAAAAAGTTTAGCAGTTTTGGCAGCAACCGAATAAATTTACCAAGCAATCTAAGTGAAATGGTTAATTTAAGTGAAATTACGAGTAAATTTATCATCACGTTAAATATGGAAAATCTTAAACTTACCTCGTTGCGTAGAGTATGAACCTCATTCTGCAATGATACTACCATCTCACGTAGAGCGACAACCTCACCACGTAAAGTAGACACCTCCACACGCCATGCACCATCGTTATCGCGTAGAGTACCGATCTCCTCACGCAAGGCATTGACCTCATCACGTAACTCCCTTGACTCATCCCGTGGAGGTGGAGAACAGGGAGATAGAAGTCGTGGCATCTTTGTCGGTTGCCTATCATGAGGTGATGGTGGAGAAGAGACTCGATGATGTGACGGGATAGGTGATGGCTCTCGTTGTAGAGGTGTATAGTCGGGTCGATCAGGTGATGGCTCTGGGTGAGGTGATGGCTCTCGAAGTGGAGGAAGTGGAGGCTGCTCATCATTCGTACCATCGAAAAAACGCTGACTAGCTTGCCACCAATCAGTGGCAAGCTCAGCCTCCGTGGGTGTCAGTCTCATTAATGGAGTGTTGGCCTCCTAATAATATAAAAACTAAAACAAAGTTAAACGTCTACTATTAATAACTTGTTTATATATGATAGTATTTGTGTTAACTTACATTATTTATTGTCGCATATGGTATTAAGTCTTCCCAATCCAACATACATTTCCTCTTCCAGGAAATAGCCCTAGGAATATCATCTGAGGATTTTAATGCATATGTCCGCATGCTGGGGAAAGCCTCGAATATCCAAATCTACAAACAATATAATAACAAACATTAGTAATTGTTAAATAATTAATTATAATTTTGAAAACATTATATAGAAATTCTTACCTTAAAGGCCCAAACAAAGCCTGACAAAGTGTATTTCGACCCATCGCCCCGCAAACTTTTGCGGTCATCAAAGGCAGACGACAACTTAGTCCAGGTAGCTTTCCATATATACGAACCCCACGGAAACAGATTCCATGCATTTAGGTCCTCTACCAATAATATTAGCTCCTGAGGAATAGGTTGTATGGCCTCTCTGCCTAGAAAGCCGGCATACAAAAGTAGTAGAAGGCATACTCGGACAACATCGACGTCATTCATCCGAGTAAAACCATCTTTCTTATTAAACAATTTCTTCATGTCGTCGACGTGTAAGTTCGGCTTCTCTATTGACTCATCAGGAAAAACCCTGGATAACCATGATGGGGGTGATATGACGAGTGTATCGGCCTACATCATCGTGTCCGAATCGTAGACCAGTGATTAAGCAGAACTCCTTCCGCCCAAAACAAGTATACGCCGGTGGAAAATGAAACCATATCTCTTCCTCACCACGTTGTATACTGTCAGGTAGATCGCTAGTCATGGTCTGAAGCCACAAATGGGTCAAACTAGCATCTCCACCCGGATGCTGTACTCTCAGCCATGGCCCGAAGCAGGTTTCTTCAAACAATTTTCTTTGTGCAGGTGAAAGCTTCGAAGCAATTGTAGTGGCTAGGCTAACTTTATTCCTTAATGTCAATGAAGCCGAAAAAAATTTCTACAAAAAAACAATAAACATACCAAGTTAGATATACCAAAAATTACACTGTCAAGATATACCAAAAACAAAACAATAAACATAAATAGTAGTTTATTCTTGAAACTAAAATTTGCAACACTGTTTTGTCTTTTGGTTGAAATGAAAATCACAACGAGATAATGAGAATTGCAACGCGGAAATGACTATCGCAATGAGAGAATCGCAACGCGAAATGACTATCGCGACGAGAGAATCGCAACGCGAAATGAAAATCGCAACGCGAAATGAAAATCGCAATGCGATTTTGGTTTCGCGTTGCGATTTTTATTTCGCGTTGCGATAGTTATTTCCGCTTTGCGATTTCATTCTCGAAACTATTCTTCTTCTGCATTACTTCAACCAAAAGACAAAACAAAGACAAATACTAACTTCACAGGCTAAACAGTTTAGCAGTATTGGCAGCAATTGAATGAATTTAATAAGAAATCTAAGTGAAATGGTTAATCTATTATTGAAATTACCAGTAAACTTATCATCAATCTCAATATGAAAAACCTAAAATAATGCAAAAATTTCAAATAAAAATAAAAAAAACTAACCCTCGGAGGTTGATTTTCCATTTCTGAATGATTATGAGGGATTTTTGACTGTGAATGGTTGTGAGGGATTTCGCCGGCGATGGGGACGGAAATCTTCGGAAATGGGGACGGATTTCGCCGTAGAGAGTGAAAGATGGAGATGGGACTGAGTGTTGTGTGTTTGGGTTTGAGGTTATGAGTTGCGTGCGATTACTGTGGACGGTTCATTTTCCGATTTATTAAGAAAAAATACGTGTTTGGAATTTGAAAAAAAAATACGCGTTAATACGAATGGCGCTAAGTAAATCGCGTTGCGAAAGTCAGTATCGCGTTGCGAAAGTAAGTATCTCGTTGCGATTTTTTATTATCGCATTGCGATAGTCAGTATCGCATTGCGATTTTCCCAATTCGCGTTGCGATTTACTTATTCGCATTGCGAATTTCCCAATTCGCGTTGCGATTTACTTATTCGCATTGCGAATTGGGAAAATCGCAACGATACTGTAGACCATCGCAACGCGATTTTCAACTATCGCATTGCGAAAATGCAACGCGTATTTGCGATAATGGAGATCGCGTTGCGAATTAGCGATCGCATTGCGATTTTGTTGGTCATTTTGGCAAATCCGGAAAAAGTTGGTTAAAATCGTATATTATATAGGATTTTTGGTCACTGAGGTTATTTTCTCTTTCTAAAAAGCCAAATGGGGCAGCAGAGCCAGAGAGCATGCATGCACGTACAAATTAAGGTGCAATGATTTACATATTAGACGGTTATAAAAATGGGTAATTTTTTCTTCTTTGCCGATTGGTACGTTGTGTGGTTTGATGTTGAGGAAATTTCCATGCAACAATGAGCTTTTTTCCATGTTTGGCTCTTTGTACTTTGTTTTGGTACATGAATTCCCCCTACCTTAGATGGAACGTAGTATTCGAAAAACATTTACTTTTATGTTACACATAATACAAAAGAGACATTTACAGATTTATTCTTTAATATTTATTCGTCTTATCAAATTGGTTTTTAACTTTTTAAAGTTAAATGTAGTTGTCTTGAAATGATGTTGACATTACACCTTATACAATATTATACGTATGCTTCATGCCATAGACTACGACCTTCATTTCAAATTGGTATTTAAACTTTTGAATATTATAATTTCATCTTCAAACGATGAGTCTCATTCTAAATTAATCCCCGAACATTTAAACATTCCAATAACATCCCCCTAAAACATTCAAAAGTTTGGGGAGTAATAGAGAAATGGTGGTAATAGTTTGAGGAAAAATTTAGAATGTTCAAAAAGTTTGAAAATTAATTTAGAATGAGAGTCGTAGTTAAAGATGAAATTAAAATATTTAAAAAGTTAAAGATTAATATAGAACGATGATCATAGTTTGGGAATGTATAATACAATTGACTATGCTATTTTTAATACTTTTATAATTTTCAAATTATTTGCTGACACAACATATAAGATATAGTGTCATGCTAGCATGAAGTATATGTTACAAACTTACCATGCGAATTGACAAATTAACATCGTTAAAAATAAAATGTTTTAGTAAATATTTTTAATTAAAAAACAATTTATCTTCTTTAAAACATTGAGGATCAAGCTTAGTTAAAAAGAATTTGTTTATTCAAAAACAAATTAAAATTTTAAATTAAAATTGATTTATGAAAACATTTTTTAAGATTTGTTTTAAAACAGATGACCATTCTTCATAACTAATTTTTATAATTTTATCCAAATAATTGTAGCTGTCAAATGAATTATAAAATTTTTGTAATATTTCTTTTTAATTTTTGAAATTGGTGGCGTAATGTGATTGGGACGTACAATCAAATTTCACGGGTCAACTAAAATAAGTCAAATAAATGAAAGCATGGGTGTGGACGAAGCAAACACGGTGGGTAATAAGGGCTAATATAAAAACAATCTGGTTTATTTATTTATTTTTAGGGTTAAAGCAACTTTAATCCTTGAAGTTGGTAACTTTTTATAACGCAGTCCCTCGTTTTTCGTCCATATTTTCCCTCAATTGGGTCATTTGTTTTTATCATTTTAGTCATTTTTATGATGTGTAACTTGATATTATACGATATTTCACAGCCTTAGAGGTTTACATCATCAAAATTACCAATTTAGGGACTAATTTGGAAATTATTTAAGGATCAAAATGAGAAAATTTACTAAGTTCAAGGATGAAATATCGTTTTATCCCTTAATTTAAAGAAGTTTAAACTGTAGCAGCCTCCCGCCCAGGAGCTACGCTCCTCTCTGCTTATATAAGACAAACAACCTAATGCTCTTGGAAGCCTCAGCTCACTGTCCGTCGCTTTCGCCTTTTCACTTTCTCTGAGAAATAGAGAAAAAAAGGTAAACAAACGTGAAAAAGAAGAAGAAAAACAGAAAAGAAGTAGAGAAAACCTCTCCAGAGTTCTTCATTTGCAGTCTCGCGGAGCTCCTCAAAGCAAAGTAAGCTTCTTCATTTCTGAACAATCTTTATAGCGGTGGCTATTGGTTTTTTCATTTGAATTACTATAGTTGATAATAATGCTGGTTTTCGGATTGATAGAGTTCAAGAATTTCAAATTTTAGATCTATGACGGAGCTATGTTTTGCTTTTTATTTTAGTATTGAAATTTATCCGAACATTCAAAGTGCATCACGTTTTTCTTATGAATCTGTAGTTTTTTTTTCCTGAGAAAATTATAATGCATTCGGTGATTTGGACTCTTTTAGTCTTCATCTATTATTATTTACTTGCTAGCTCGGAATTCGGATAGGGATCGGAGATTTTTCTTTTTAAGAAACGTCATAAAGGCTAAAATGTATTGAATTGTTGAGGATTTATGTTCCAAAAAGAAAATGAAAAACTTAACAATATGTAGAACCCTCTGTTTGGTTTACTCGGAGAATACCGTTAAATGAATTCGGTTTTTTAACCGCGCATTGAGAGTGAGAATTTTTAGATAGCGCATCGATTTCTAATTTAGCGTTATGGAGTGATTCAATCTCCCATCGGTGTGTTATAAATCTGTTGTTACTAGTGCGGAAGTATTGCAGAGATGCTATAGCTTAAGGTAATAATTCCAAAATCCCTTGTCTCGTAAAACAAATGGTATTTTATGCATGAGGCTAAAGTTACCAGAGTCAATACATTTGTCATATTGTTGCAGAGCTTATACTGTTTGAGAATTGATTGAAGTAATTTCTTTAGCAAATTGTAGTTTAACGCGCTCATTGTAATCATCATGTTACATTGATTAGGTGTTAGAAATGCAGGTTCAATGAATTTTTTTTCAAATTGAAAGTCATGCATTGCTCTTCCCAAAGGCAAGCAAGGATGAATAAAGAAAATGAACCTACTGAAAAAGTTGAAGAGCCTACAGGAAGAATTACTCGGGCACGGGCTAAAGCACAGGGGGGAGCACCTTCAAAACCATCCTTCAGACAGGAACCACAGGATAAAAAACGTGTTCTTCGAATAAACTCCAAACGTGCATCATCAGATGAAAACAGGGCTTCTATGACTTCTACCGTTGGTCTTAAGCCAAAAAGAAGGGCAGTGCTTAAAGATGTAACGAATGTCATTGCTGAATCTGCTGATAGTATGCACATGGAATGCTTAAATGCAAACAAAATTCAGGTGAAGAGATCTTTTGAATTTTGATTTCGTCCTGGGGTTCAGTCTGCAAACTTCTGAAATTTAGGAACTTCCTATGCCCTAATAAACAACTGAGAAGACAAAGTTCTTCCTGAAAGTGATCTGAAAAGCAGGGATAGATTGTGCTTATGTTTATTCTTCTACTGCAACAGTAATCTGTAGTCTGTACTTAATAAATAATCTAATTTTCTGTTATTATTATTGGTTGACAGACCTCCAAGCAGATCATTAGAGATCCTAGGGAGAAGAACACAGAAATGGTTGAAGATATCGTCACGGGGATTCCATCAGTTGAAGAAGATGTGAATGCAAAGTTAGCAGAAGGCTTGTCAAAAATAAGGGTGATGGAGGCACAAGAAAACACTTTACCAGTAAAACTGGAAGAAAGAGAAGTAGCGGAATCTACGTGTCACAGTGCAAGTGAATGTGCTGTACCAGATTCAATGCCTCCAATACAGGTTTTTACAGTGCCTGTTGGACACGAATGCTCTCAAAGAAAAGGTTTGTGCTCTTTCTAAAATCATCGAAGGAATGACATAGATCATACAGTCCAGCTGTCTAAGAAATTGCATACCTCCGTTTTAGAAGTATAAGGTATTAAAACTGCTCTAAGGTTAACAGACAGTAAGATACTGCAAAGTGTTATTACTATTCCGGTTTTGAATTAAATGTTCATACCTTTTAATTCTGTGTCATGTCTATGGAACCTCTGAAAATACATCAATGTGTGTGTTTTATTTTTAGGACAACTTTATTGGAAGAATATAACAAAGTTTTTGGAAGAAAATAGCCGGTTAGTGTTTAAAATATTATGCTTGTAAATTTATGTTGGTTTTGGTTGGATACTGCAGAAGATGGGGTTTGCAAGAAACTAGAAGGCTTGAAAGATGTTGTGGATATTGATTCAAACTTAAAAGATCCTCTAGTATGTAGCTTGTATGCCCCAGAAATATACGACAATAAGCGTGTGACTGAGGTTGGTGCTGCAATTTCATTCAGTACTAAATTAAATGCCAATATATGATTGACACATTTTTCCATAGGAACTCTTCAGTTTCATACCGAACAATTCTCTTTCCTATTATTCTGTAAATTTTATTTGATGCAGCTGCTACTTTTTCTCTTTCTTACATTTTACAAGGTGAATTATGTAGTGACAGTGACTCTTTGTGCACAAACACTTATATCAGGATTCAGATGTGATATTCTCTAACTGTTGTTCGCAATATAATTTTTTTTTGCTTTGCTGGAGGATGTCTCTTAGCTTGCAAGTTTTGCTCTACCAGCAATTTGTTGATACTTATTTAATCAGATTATCTTCTGCAGCTTAACCGAAGAATTTCAACCAATTATATGGAGCAGGTGCAGCGGGATATTACCCCAAGCATGCGAGGAATTCTGATTGATTGGCTAGTGGAGGTAAGTCAATGTAGTTAATTTATAGCCGAACAGTTACTTGCATCTCCACCTGCTTGAACGTAGGATAACAAGTCGAAAAAGCTGCATCTGCCATGAGATACTGTGATGCTGTTCTATTTTTCTTGTTTACTAGAACTTTTTTCTCAATAAGCAGGGACAAGGTCTACTGTTCATTATTCTCCTCACCCGAAAGAACCATATATTTATCAACTTCTGAATAGAAGGATATTCTGTTTGTTCTTGAAGTGTGCAAAGAGTTAATTTGTCGTACTTTTTTGTTAGTACGTGCTAAACTTTAGGCAATTTGATGTGCTTACTGCTATTTATAGTTTTTCATAATGTTTCAGGTTTCTGAAGAATATAAGTTAGTCCCAGACACACTGTACCTCACAGTGAGCCTCATTGATCGTTTTCTCTCTCACAATTTTATAGAAAAACAAAGACTCCAGCTACTTGGTGTTACTTGCATGCTAATTGCATCGTAAGTTCTTTAATATATTTCCTGGGAATTAAGAATTACGTTCCATAGAGACATACATCTTTGTTACTCCGTGTTATTGAGGATTCAAAGCGCTTTGCTTTTACTTTTCAAAGAAAGTATGAAGAGATTTGTGCACCAAGAGTGGAAGAATTCTGCTTCATCACTGATAATACCTACACAAGAGGAGAGGTATGGGTTTTCAGCTACTTATACATTAGCATTCATGAGTCTAGCAGAACTTAGAAAAAAGACCCAAAGCCAAATATTGGTCATTAGTTTAGATCAAGTTACGTTGTAAGGCATTTGATAAAATTATGAAAAATTCCCGTTTTAGGCAGCAATGTTTGTAATATTCTGTTGATTGTGGCTACATGGCAGGTGCTGGAAATGGAGAGGAAAGTTCTGAATTTCTTGTATTTTCAGTTATCTGTTCCAACCACAAAAACATTTCTCAGGTAAATGCTGATAATCTAGAATGAACTCGGTAAGGGTTCTCCAACGTCCCTTCGGAGGTGATATCACTTAGGGACGGACGTAAGATTTTATATTAAGGGGACGAACTTATAAAATTTTAGCAGAACGAACTTAAAAATATTTAGGGGACGAAAACATATTATCAATAAAAAATACAAAAAAATATATAAAATATACGAGAATTTGAAATTTTTAGTGGACGAACTACCCGTCCCTCTTAGATCCATCCCTGATTCCCTTCTTAATTTTCATTTTCTTTTTCAGGAGGTTCATTCGAGCAGCACAAGCAACTTACGAAGTATTGTATCTTGGGATTCTTATCTACATCTTTCTCTATAACATTCAGTATAATCCGAGTAATTTGCACTTCAATTGTGTTGGAGTACAGGTCCCTCGCCTGGAACTAGAGTTCTTAGCAAATTATTTAGCAGAGCTCAGTCTTGTTGAGTACAGCTTCTTAAAGTTTTCACCTTCACTCGTTGCTGCATCTGCTGTTTTCCTTGCCAGATTGACCCTCAATCAATCAGTCCATCCGTGGGTCTGTTCTCTAGCTTGTCTCCTTTCTTTCTTATAATTGGAACCACTGTCGGAAGGACACATTTCCCATGTTTTTGGTTTTTTTTAGCAGAATCCAACGTTGGAGCATTATACTCATTACAAGGCAGCCGAGCTAAAAGCTACTGTACTTGCGTTGGAGGACTTGCAACTCAACACTAATGGTTGCTCCCTCAATGCCATTCGCAACAAGTACAAACAACAAAAGGTACATTAAATATACATATAGATTAAGATTCACTTATATAATGTAAATTACTTTTAATTTTATACTGATTTAAGATTATTCAATGAATAGAAATAGATGACTGAGATTATTATTTTTAGTGAATATATTTTTATTTCTTAATGTTAATTTCAGCTATTTATTATCATTTATCTATCATATATCAATGCAAAATTTTTTAATATATATATATATATATTAAAAAGTTATATATATTTCATCTGATAAACTGATTCTCCTTTTTGATGGATGTTAAAATTGACAGTTCAAATGCGTAGCGACGATGAGTTCCCCAGAAAGAGTTGTATCAGTGTTATTCTAAAACGTAAAACAATAACCATTTACTCTTTACTGCCTGTGCCTGCTTGGAGAATCATCAACCAATATTTTCTACAGCTCGTATTTATATTTATTTTTTTCTTTCAAATTCTTTTAAATTGTCGCTCCACAATTCAATTCTGTTGTAAGTTGTAACATTGTTGGTTTGACGGGGTCCTGGTGCTTCCAGTTCCTTACCAACATTGTAATTTGTTAGTGTAACGTTTTCCACCATTGGATTTAGAGGTTTTTCCAATAATGAATCTTTATAATCTAACTTGCCCAAAAAAAGTTTTTTTCCTAATGATATCCGATTATCCTTATTTTAAAATTTTTTTTATTGTATTTTCATCGAGTTGGCCATAACTTTGGACGCAAACATAGATTTAAATATAATAATATTCGGTGTGGATCTACGACTATCCTAGGATGGATGTCTGAAATCAAATTTTTTTTCGATTAGTTACTTATTTTATTGATGGTATCCACCCTGAAATTTTATTTGTGTCCACTTCATTTATAAATTTTGTGTTATCAACATATATGTGCTTATCTTAAAAAATATTTCTGAGTCCGCCACTAATAATATATATTATAATCTATGTGTAAAATAACTAATTGAATTAATATCATAAACTGATTAACACAGTTGAAAAAACCTCTTATTTTCAAGGGAAATTAATATTATTATAGAAATATTTTTTCTTATTTTTATATAATTTTTAAAATAATCTAATAAAATAAAATACTATTTTAGAATTGAGCACAAGTGTCCCTTATGACTTTTTATAAAGGTCGATTTCTCACTCTGTTACATATACTGAAAATTTAAATTTATCATATATATGTTTCATTAAAAATCTACTTTCACCCTTTAAAATTTTATAAATTCATCACCTAACATAAATTTTTGTATCTGTTTCTGTTCATGGAAATGATTATCAAATTATGACATGCTAAGCGGTGGTCAAGGTCAAAACATCGAAGTAACAAAATGCAAGTTATCAATGTACAATAAGAAAGATGATTGTTAAAGGAGGTCAAATAGGTTGACGATAGTAAATTGATCGATCAATCACGATTAACATCTTCTGATTTGAACAAATATCATTACTCTATATGGATCTTATTAAATCCAAATATATTATGATTATCATTTTATTTATTTAATATTTATAATGATTTTGTGATAGTGTATATATTGATTGTATTTGTAATTCTATTTATATATTAGATTGATTAAATTCCAATTGTAGTGTATTGGTTGTAACAAATTATACTTGTTGCATGGAGAGTACAATGCACCAAAAATGAAGAGACGGTTAAACTATGATACACAGGCAACTCTCTACCTGATTGAAGAAGCAAGATGCCAGTGAAGGACTATATCGGACAACATTCGACGTACCGGTGGCAATGCAATAGGGAAAGATTTCCTACATCAACCCCCAAGAACACGTTTGAGTCCGGCACGTTGCTCCGATGTCAACTTCATAGGGAACTTCACATCAAATTTGATCCTAAGAGCACCCCTATTCCCAGGCTCCTTTGCAATTGGCATTCCTTCCATAGCGACAACGAGCTCGTAACCCGGGTGGATAATGTCGGTCACCGGCAATGACAAGTTACGGCGATCAAGAGTAGTTAGATTTACTGTTGTGCCCCCAAGTGCCTCTGCCAGTGACACCTTTTTGTTGACGATGAGATCATTGCCATCCCTTTGGTAAAGATCATGTGGCTTTTCATCGATTACAAATACAAGGTCTGCTGGAAGCTGATTTGGCTGTTCGTTTCCTTTATCTGGGAAAGTGATCTTTGTTCCTTTCTTCCACCCTGGCTTCACATCAATGGTTAATATTTCCGATTCCTGTGTCTGCCGCCTGTAAGGATCCAAATTAGTCCGATCAGCAAGATCAAAGATAGAAATTAATTGTAGTTCATCGAAAATGCATGCTCAAGAGTGTCAAATAGCAGGAACTAAAAGATATATCGCAAGATTCCGTCTTTGATGAAAGTTTCAGTTGATGTAATAAAGAATATCGTCAGTCCCATCCTCGGAACACAAAACTGTATTTCTGAGCTTATAGAAGTGAAACTTTAGTCAAGAGAATGCATTACAGGATCATGAATGAGATGAATATTCATACCCAGATGCATTGACAACAGTTCTCGAGATCTTCATCTTCCTTGTTGATCCAGTGTATAGCTCTTCCAGGGTGCAAGGCAATTTGCTCTCAACTGGGGATGGTTTCCTGGGCGGAGTTGTATCATTGTACGTTCGAAAATTGTTGTCGGTGCAACAAAATCCTCCAAACTTCCCTCCATCAGAGTGGAATCTTGCAGACCTACCAAGTCCTGCTGACCCGAACTCGAAAGGACTACTTCCAAAGAACTCGGCAAATATATCCTCGGCATTCCTAGGATTGAACCCACTCGACCAACCAGAGCCATTTCTTGATGACTCACCGCTGCCTGGTGGAGGGATGTTTTTCAACCCTTCTTCACCTTGCTGATTGTAAATTGCTCTCTTTTGAGGGTCACTCAAGACCTGAATCACAAAATTAACATGATTCCCCATATGAAATCTAAGAAGACAGTGGGTACCAGCCCTTACATCTTAGTGCTATCTATACTATAGTGATCCAATCTATTTGTATTGGTGTATCATTAAGCACATGTCAGGTTAGATCAATCATCAAAATAAACAAGAAAACCATTTTGTGGTGAACATCACCCGTTCTAGAGAGGCTGACTACCTTTTGTCTTTGCGGTAACTGGCCAAGTCCGGGTTCAGAGCCAGACACCGCAATCTGCTATCTAGTAATATCTGGTGATTAAAATAAACCATATTCCAGGGCCTCTAATGTGACTGACAATAACTAATCAGACAAACAAGATAACATGAAAACACTCGACTATAGTTTAGAAGCTAAAACGATATCAAGAAAGAATGTCAGGCGCATAAGAACAGAAATCCCTTATAATCCTTAATTAAACTAGAATATTACAACAGATAATATAACTTGGTTCGATTATAGTAACAATTTAAGCCATGAAAAGGGAGGGGGGATTTAAACTGAGTAGCTAAAAATCCTAGTACAGATAGGATTACAGTTCAGCTTAATATAGTTTCATGAAATCCTTGAACTACAGAAATATTCAAAGAAAGAAACCTTCATTCGAGAACAATACACAGCGGTAAGATTTTTTTTTTTGGAAAGACAATATTAAACTCTAGATAAACTTTATAAAAGCTGTGCTAAACGACCCCCTTCCCATGTTAGTGGAATAGTCGACCCCTTTGTTACTTAGTTCACGTGTCAATCACAGATACAGATATGTATATGACAAAAATATGTAAGTTTCTTCAAGTATTTGGAGGATCCGAAGGTCGCATTATCATATTCATGTGTCAGACACAAGTACTTGAACAAAAATAAATAGTTGCATTCAAGAACTGCCTAATTAGCATAGAAATTTATTAGCTAACTTTATAAGTAAAACATACTGAAAATTGCAATCCTGAAAGAGCTTAAAAGCTGCTATGTCTTCCTATCACGTAAACCGGTTTCTGCAAATGCAATGCATTATTAAGTTGCTTGGACTTTTCATTTTCTTTATGTTAATATCCAACATTGGATATCAGATTGTGGCCTCTAAGGAACCTCTAAATACATGAAAAAAGCTTTAAAAGAATCCAACTATACCGTGACACATACTCGTATCCGACACTCATGTCCGAGTAACACAGATGCATTCACATTTTATACCCATTTTTTTATTGCCATTTGTCATTTTCCTACTCTAACCCTAATTCCTTTTCAAGAAAAGTAATAGCAATAAAACATCTCTAATACCATTAAACAACTATGCTATTAACATTAATTCATTCAAGACTATTTCTCGGCCAAAACAGAATCAAGATCATTGTGTTTCTTTCCAGGCAAATACTATAATCAAATGACAAAAGAACTTCATAAAAGATGAAGAATGTAACAATAAATTCCAGCATTTTCCTCTTCTATAATAAATTAACGATTAAAGAGAAACAAAATGAGGGGAAGACTTGCCTCATAGGCCTCAGAAATCTGCTTGAAATTGGCTTCGGCTTCCTTTTTATTGTTTGGGTTCTTGTCAGGATGCCATTTCATTGCCAGTTTCCTATATGCCTTTTTCAGATCATCGTCTGTTGCATTCCGGTCCACTTTCAACACATTGTAATAATCCACCCCCATTCTTTCTTTATTTTCTCTTTACAATCTGACCCAAATCCTATAAAATCATCAAAAAAATCTTCTTATCAATTGACAAAAAAAAAGCACTACACAGAAACAACAAATTCCCCCCTTAAATCTCTCTTCCTGTCGGTAAATCCAAATTCTGCAGGAGAAAATCTATGAATTTTTAATGTTCCATTGATTGGAACATGAAAAATGGGAGATTTTGTCTGCAGATAAGATTAACACAAAACAAGCTAGACAGATTCAAAATTTCTTCTCTGGAGGAATCAATGTGCTTGCATTTCTTTGGTTTAAGAGTTGAAAACCGTGTTTGTTGGGAGACTTTACCCCATATAAAACGGAACTAACGGAGATTAAATAAATATCACTAAAGATTGTTGTTTTCTCTTTTAAGTACAATATATATAACTATGCATATATTTGAAAATTGGTAGTTTCTTTTTCTTTTTCTTTTCTCCCTATTCTTGGAAAAAATGGAAACAATGGTTTGCATTTTGGCAATGAAGTTGTCACGTAAACATTCCTTATGAAAAGAAATTCTTTTTCCCTACAAAATTAACTTTTATATACAAGCTAGATGCATATATTAAACTCATATGTATAAGAATATTAATACATTAGTGGATTGAACCACATGTTGACATCAATGCAAGTTTGATCCCATAAACCCGATCCTCGCATTGATCACTCCATTGTCATTCCTAGAAAAGATCGAAAGATCACACTTGTAACTGAACACATTTTTCCTTTAAATTGCCATTCAGTACCAGCTTACCTATAAAAACAATATATATATGTATATGATATATTAGGTAATACAACAATGTGCTTTATTGAATATTCATTGGGACATTCAAGAAATGCTAATAAGATAGTTATTGTGATTTATATAAAGAGATGGTATAATCAATGATAAAGCAAAACATTAGCAATAACCCTAATCCATATCCTGCCTCTTCAGTTGAAGCAATGAAAGAAATTAGATGGGAACTCAATAGTTAGATAAATGAGCTGCCATGGTTAACTAGCTAACTCACCTATTTGCAAAGGTGATTCTAACTTACATACCATGGTGGTCAGTACCATAGCTGTACTCCCGCACCACTACATATGGTTTCAACTCTGAGCCGGTCTGATCCAATCCCTATCTGACCCTGGATTTGAATCAATAATCGTTCTTCTGCAGTTTCACGCCGCGATATAATAACTGTTCATCATCATAACCTCGTTAAAACCAAAATCATATTCCAGAAAAAAGAGATTACTAGAAAGTAGAATCAGGTTCATATTCATAGCTACAAATCCTACTAGATTAAAAAAAGATACTGAAAAAAAATGTTTTCTAATGAATTTGAAGCAAATTATCTGACTACACATCTAGACAGCATAAACGAGAGACAATTGAAGTCCAAAGCAATTCATCGTGTAAATTGCATAAGAATAAGGCCACTGTTCTGCTAACGGTTACCAATAAGAAAAAATCATGTTAGTTAAGAGGTCCTCGGGTAAATATTATAGTAAGGGGTGTGGCCAAAAGAAAAGGATTAGAGAGAGAGAAAGATAAACATACATTACCTACCCCACATTCAAGATGTTTGACCCGAGATGCTCCGGATGCAAGAAAATCAATGTCTCTGAAAGCAAGGATTTCCCCCTTTCTGCTGCATGAGAACAAGAGAAGATATGTGAGGTTGCTTCTTGATATTGATGTTTTAGGTAAATTTTGCTCTGTTGAAAAACAATGTTGAAACAAGGACTAAATACAAATTATCTTCTTGTTTTGGCCATTGCTAAAACTTTCATACCTGATTCATGCTTGAATCATCTTCTTAAACATTCTTAGAAGGTACCAAGCGAGCCATAATTAAATGCTTTAAAAATCATTTGAAAAGAAACTTCAAAAAACTAAATAGATCAGCAAGCTACTGCCCTTTGATCTGTTTCTTTCTGAAAGTAATTACATATAATCCACTCTAGAACTTTAGCAGCTTTAGGAATTTCTTCACCGAACCATTTGAAACTGCTTGGTTAAGGATCCGTAGAGTTACCTCATCAGGTTGAAACCCTTCTACTACCATGACTTTAAGTAAGAAGAGGATCTCCCGAAACATGCCTCTCCAAAACATTGCATGCAATAGGGTATTGAAAATTGCAACACTAGGAACAACACCCCTCACTAGCATGTGGTTCCGCATTTGAAGAGCAGCTGATATCTTCCCTTCTTTACAGAGGCCATTAATTAATGAACCATAGGTAAAAACATCAGGTTTCAGTTTCTGTCTTTTCATTTCCCCTAACAATTGACCAACCCAAAGGTGATTGTGCTCTCTCAGGGAAGCATGGATAAGAATGTTGTATGAAGTAATGGCAGGAAGGACCTCGGTGTTTCTTACGCTCTGGAAAAACCGATATGCAATTCCAAGTAACTGATTCCTACAAAGGTTATGAAGCAGCATATTGAAGGTGACTTCGGTTGGAGTAGGACTGCAATGCATCATGGACTCCACTAACTTCAAACACTCCGAAAAGTTTCCACTTTTGCAGACATATCGAACCAAACGAGTCAAACTTAAAACATTAAGCTTTAAGTTTTCATACCTCATATGATATAAGACCCTTTGGATTATTGTAGAGTTCCTAGCCTGCAGGCAGTAGACAAAATTGCATTGAATGAAACTGCATCGGGCCAATTTACATCCCACTCAAAATGATATAAGAGCTCAAAAGCTTCGTTAATTTTTTTTTCTGCACAAAAACCACTCAAGATTGTATTATAAGACACATTGTTTGGCTTAAAGCCAGCTTCCGTCATGCTCTTCAACAGATATAATGCTTCTCTTGATTTATTTTGTTGACATAAACATCGTAAGTAAATGTTATAAAGAGCAGCATCTACAGTACATCCACTGGAAAATATATCGTGCAATAGTTCACATGCAAACCCTGTTTTTCCTATTTTTAGTAGGCCTCCACACAATGCAGCATATGAGTAAGAATCCAGGTAAAGACCTTTTTGAACCATCACCTGAATGAACTTAGATATGACATCCAGTCTGTGTCTACGGCAAAGTTCACGAAGGATAACATTATAAGTAAGCAGATCAGGTTGACATCCTTCCCTTTCCATCTTACCCACATAGTCCATAGCTTCCTCAAATTTCCCATTATCAAAAAGATATTTGACAATTATCGTGTGCGTAATCACATTAGGCTTACACCCATCACTTTGCATCAAATCCAGCCATTGGGAAACATCATCCTGCAGGCCCTCTCGACAAAATCCATAAATCAAAGCAGTATACGAACACACACTATGACAAACCCTTTCTTCTTCAGCCAACAAAACAATTGCAAAGCAACACAACTTTGACCGGACTTGCATAAAACCCACAGAATCTGATTGTAACAAAACACATTATAAACATAACCCTTTCTCAAAAGAAGACATAACACAAACCAAGCCTTGGATGCCATCCCAACTTTACAAAGCATCGAAATAAATTTATTCAAAGTCAGTTCCGACGGGTGATAATCAAAACTCAACATAAGCTCAAAAACAGTAAGACCATGAAGTAATTTCCTACCTTGATCGCCATTTTCAAGGTTTTCGATAAAGAAGAAAACGATGGAACAAAATCACTCCTATACATCTCTTCAACAATAAAAACTGCAGTTCCAAATTACCAATAACCAGCATTCCGCGAAGAAGAGTATTAAATGTGGACGCATTAGGTCGAGGTCCAAACCTCTTCATCCCGATATACATTTCAACTAGCTCTTGCCAACAAGCGTTGTTAGACTTCAAGTAAAAATACAACAAGGAATTACAATCATACACGGTGGGCTTCCCATCAAAGCTTTTCATCAAATTCAGAGTACAGAGGGCATTGTTAAAGTCACCTGAGACGACATAACCCCGCATCCTCCGCTGCAATTCGGGATAATCGGAAACATGGGTGTCAACTTCTTTGAAGCAATCTACTTTATTTAGAGCACATGAATGGATAAACTCGCTAAAAAACGGAACTTTCTGCAAAGTTTACATGAATAAGTAAGTGCAGGAGATAAACCAAAAGGCATGGAAATTTGAAGTGAAAGGTTGGAGCTTGGAGATACAATTGCATTTAATAAATATTTAGAGATAAACTTTTTTGGGTTGCTGGGAATCTGGATGAATATAAAAGGAGTATGTTGTGAAGCAAGGACTAGCAGAAAACTGGGAAATGGGAGAAGAAGGGTTTATGGAAAATAAATGAAGAAACAGGAGGGTTTTAGTCGGCTGAAGAGCAAGAGGGCGTAAGGATATTAGTTTGGCCTTTTTTTCTTCGGATTTCCCCCCTTTTGTCCCCGTAATGGTCATTGAACTTTTAAGATTGTTTACTTTAGTCACTAAAATTAAAAAAAATCATTGAATTAGTGTTATTAATAAAAACTTTCATTCCGATCATCGTTACATCAAAACAATAGTTGAGTCAGCATACTCACAAGTCATTTTTCATAAATATTAAGATATCAACACATTTTGTCAACTTATTAATAAGAGAAATAAAAAAATATAAATATTTTAGATGAGATTCGAACCAATGATCCTTTTATGGATTTCAAATCCTTCAATTTATTTATGTTCTCTTCATCTTCTCCTCAATAAGATGGTGATACATGTGACCATCTAATTCAATGACATCAATTTAAGAAAATGAAATATGAACATGCTGATCTAGCTTTCGATGTGTGAGAGTATAATGTCAACTGTCATAATGGTTTAAGAGTTCAATGATCGAAATGAAAATTTTCCTGAATGATAGTAATTTCAATAAAAAAAATTATTTTAGCGACAAAGTGAAAATATCTTAAAAATTGAATGACCATTAAGTGTCATTTACCCTAGTTAAAATTGTAGTCGTATTGAACAAAGTTTTTCTAGGGACCATTCAAACTAAAGTTTCCATATTGTTAATTATTACATATAACATTATAAAATTGTAATAGTTTGTATAGTATGGTTTGTGCAATTCATTTTAGATAAAATATTACGATTTTATAATAATTTATCACGCAAAAATTACAAAATGAGTAATGTTATGTGAAATTACATAAAAAAGTCAGTAAATTTATAATGATTTATGTAATTAGTAATGTTTGGTGTAATTGGATAATTTTTAAAAATATTATGAAATACTTATAATTTATTTTATTTGAGGATGTTTAATAATTCCAACAAATTCAATCCATATTGCTACTTAAGAATTAGGAATATTTATTTAAATTAATTATATTTTTTTTTTATATACGAAGGTTTGTATTTAAAGAAGATTAAAATAAAGCTCCTTAAGCGAAAGGAGGAAAAGAGTGCATTCGCAGATCTAACGTAGGCTTGAATGCCACAATGGGAATATACAACTTCCTACTGCATATTGAGAGAAAGATTCGAGTGGTCAGAATATGCATCGTCATCCTAATAATAGCACAAGGAGGCTCGAGCCATCTCCTTGTCTCGACAGCTACAGAGCTAGAGTTATCACAGTGTTAAAATCGAACTCAGACATGCATGCTCGAGCAAATGGAAACCCACAACATGTCGACGACAACAAGCTTGTAGAATCATTTTCAATTCTGATGAAAACTATATTTTGCAACGGTAACTGCAAAAGGAGCTTTTTCACCAAACAATAAAGCTCACAACAGCAGTATCAGTTTAGGCAAGCAGCAGCATACAATTATACAACATAAGCGCTTCACATACCATATTTCTCAGCCTTCAAGAAAGCCCCCTATTTGTGTATACTTCTATTCCACAAACATATTAAGAAAAAAGAACACCCACTAAAATATCCTTCGAGAAAGTCGATCATGATGCAACAGCTGATTCCACAGCGCCTGATGAAGAAGCACTTGTTTCGCCTGCCATGTTCTTCAGTTTAAGAGGACTGCAGGTTGCAGATTCAGAGACATCACCATATCCAAAGTGTCGGGAAGACATTCAGAAGATTCTACAGTGTGCATCTGGACAAGACCACAATCCACTATCCATGAATACCAAGAGAAGGCATATGTTTTTCAAAACTAATCGACTAACTATAGAACATGACACTCAAGAAATTATTTCCAACAAAATCAATCACCTTAAGAAACAAAACATTTTCCTTTACTTCTTTCTAAGCATGGTTTATACAAATTTAACACTTGGCTCAGTCTAAAACCTGCAGTAATCTACAGATAAGCTGAAGCAGACTGCATAAAGAATTTTCCATACAACAACCAAAACTCTGGCCCACACTACCGCCTTAATCCAATCAATTAACAGAAATTATCAACGGGTTATGGAGTAAAGAAATGTTATAAACAAATTTAAAGAACAAAATGACCTGATATACAACCCTCACTTTGGATATATTCAACCAACAGTGATGTCATTGTGAATAAAAACAACAGAAGTATGCACTAACATGCTTATGGCAAGAGCAAAAATTTGTACGAAAAATCAATCACATAAATCAAATAATTAGATAATATGAAAGCTGATGGAAAGATCTTTTTCAAAGTAACCAGAAACACAGTGATGTGGTCAGAAGTTGCACAAAATAAAAGACTTGAGCAAATGAAGAAGAAAACAATGGCTATGCCGCAATGGGCCAGAAAGTGGAGTAAGATCCTATACTCTTTGATCAGACATTATTAGTCAAATCCAAAAATATAAAATCAGGTTAAATATGTCACTACACAATAAATCAGAAAAATATGCATAAATTCTATTACTTCGCTATTAGCACCCTTCATGGCGGAACAATCGAAGCTGCTTGGAGAGGGGCTCAAACATTCATCCTCCCACGGCTTAAGAAAAGAAAAGGGATAGGTAAAACTCAATTTGAAAAGGAAAGAAGGAAAATTATCCAGCAACATCACTCTGATAATGATAATTTTAACAACAAAATAAACATTATGCGAAATTTACCTCAAGTTGGTTCAGCATGTCAACAGTAGCTTCAAAGTCCCCATCATTAGCCAAGTAGACATCCATAAGAGACTCATTGGATAAACCAGGGAAGGACATGCGAAGATACTCCAAATCCATGTCAAATTCTTCATCCACAAACTGCTTGTCAATCATTTCACCTGGATTTTGCATCAATGAACCACGAGCAGGGTGGCTTTGCATTGCAGATCCTTCGGCAACCTGATGCTTTTTAGTACCATGGGCTACAGAGTCGAGAGAAAGCATTGCTATAATGTAGCTTATGTGGAAAGTGTGATGAAGGTTCAAACCAAGCATTCTCACTGGTGTGTGTAGCTGTCACATTATCATTGGCCTCCCTTTTGGCAAGAGGTATGTATGATGCAGCATAGGGATTCAATGAAGAAACTCCAGGCTTCATAGTCTTCATGGAAAACACTGAAAAAACACAAAAAATAACCCCTGTTAGCATATGAGGCAAATCATTCATTTCCCAAAAGAATGACCCACAAAGAGGGTAATAAGAGTTCAACCTATCAGAAAAACAGTATAATTAAAGGAAATGACTACTGAAAGCTCCAAAGAATTATAAACGAAGACGAGATTATAGAAAACGAATTTGGGTAACCTTCACTATAAGGCCTGGATATAAAGTAGCAACATTCTATAGCTTAAAAACAAACAGCACGCAAAATCTCTCAAATAACTAATACTAAGCTCCAATTTACAAAATGTTAGGCATGAGCTACAACTGTTGCTCGATCATATACAGTTCTTTTACCAATGCTTTTGTGTGATGTAAAATCCAAAAAAAAGGTATCTTGATCAAACTCTTAGGATTAAACAATATATATAATAATCGGACAACTATATAGAACATTCAAAAATTGATCAAGAAGCAATCTAAGTAACCAAAATTCCCTTAAGCATCTAGCTCTTCTCTTACGATCTCGAATTTAAAACGTCACAAAGATCAAGCAGAACGAAAGGTTAAAACATCAAAAATCAAAGATTAGGCAGAAATTTTGAAAGAGAAATAAAGCCAAAAAAATCGATTAAAACTACTGCTAGAGAAACAAGACTCTCTGTTGATATGATCGGAGAACAAGAAGGAAAACTGAAAGAGAAATTACCTGAATGTTCGGAGCGGTTGAAGATCGTCTGGGAAAAAGAATAGAACAGAAATAAAAGATGATAGAAGGGATCTGCGATTAAAATGAAAGCCAATAATAAAATGCTTTTTAACAAGGAGGCCACTTGAAGGCAGTGACGTCCGCGTCTTGTTTGGAAACCGACTTAAATCCAATCCGTGTTCGGATAACGAATCCGTGGGAATATTCTTGAAACAGTATATCACGTTGCTCAATTATTAGTTCAAATAGGGTATTTTTTAAAATTTATAATTTAGTCACTAATTGAAATATTATTATCAACATATTACTTATATTCAAAATTTAAAAGGCTTTTATTGTTTAAAATTTTATCAATTGATCTTCATTTGAGATAATTTAATATAGTTAGCTCTTTATATTTAATTTTTTTTATTAATTTAATTTTTTTTACGATATTTTCAAACAAGTGAATCCATCAAATCAGAATAATATTTGGATAATTATATTATATCATAAAATTTTTAAATTGTTATTATACCATGAAAGTAACAAAAAATATATTTTTGAGAGAAAAATATGTAATAGAAAAGAAGAACAAAAACTAAATTATAAATTGTCTATAGAAATTATTATTATATTGAGACTAATTTTATTATATTAAATTGCATCTAATATTTAACGGTTAATATATTAATTGTTGATTAAATTATAGCTTTTAGAGAAACGTGATCCTTTTTTAATATAACTAATAAGATAGGGATCTGGAGTATACTTTACCCTAAATTAGACCTTTTCAAAGTAACAAATATTTGACGTGGCAGGATACTATTGGTTAGCCTGAATGTTGAGTTGTACGAGAACATTACCCATTTGAAAAGGGTAGAGAAAATCCAAGCGGATGAGTTGAGCCAACTGTTAAGCTAAGAAGGAAAGTTGTAGAGCAGACTGAGAGAGAAGCTCAGTTAAAACTAAAATGGTGGTTCTCTCTCCTTCTCTTCTTCCCGTCCCAACTCTCCATTGCTTCAGGTTTTTCTTTTTTCTTCTTTCTCTTTGTCTCTTTACTTTTGGACTTTGCTTGTTCGTAACTTGATTTAGTTTTCTCTCAGGCATGAATCAGGTAGTACTGGCAGTGGAATGCTAAGTCATAAGAATAGTAACTACATCAGAAGATTCCATGAGAAAATCACAGTGTGCTGCAGTTTTGATTCAAAACCCACTTCTCAAAACGTGCTATGTAGAAGGGATTTGTTGCTCTTTGCTCTTTCTTCTTCACTCTCCGCACATTTTCCATCTTCAGGTACATAATTATGTACCTTTCATTTGTGAATTGTTGATGGAGGAAAAACTGGTCTTTGACCAGTTCACCTTATGTATGATGCAATGTCAGTATGAAGGATCCATGGCTTATCTTAGTTGGTTTTATGCTGAAGAAAAAAAAATCAGTTATTTGAATCTGTTAAGCACTTGAAATGGTATATTTCTTGATTAAGCTGTCTCATATGCCTTTCTATCATCAGTGACGGAAAATTCACAGGATGGGTTATAATTAGATTATGGAACTTTCGTTTTGATTTTGATGATTTTGAGTTCACGCCTGTGGCCAAAGTAATTACATTGGTTACCTATAGAGAATAAATATATATCCCAAAAGGAGTCATTATACTGCTGAATTCACAAAATATTAGGTGGGGCATCTCAGTTACGACTTGAGCCTATCTAAAGAATTTTGAAGTTTGATTGAGTTTAAGCAGTTTCTGATTACACCAAGACCAAACAGCATGTTTTAGAAACTGATATATGTATAGTGATTTATTCACTGTAGCAATTTGTTTTGGTAAAGCCGTCTTCTCTGGTCAATGAAATAACCTTTTGTTTCTTGAAATTCAACTGGATCCTTCCATGTAATGTTTATCTAGAGGATCACAAAGGGAACTTTTAACTTTTATTTTCTTATAGTTACCATACGAGACTTGACAATTGCCCACTGGAAACTTCCAACTTCTTCAAGAATTGCCAAAGATGCTTTGCATGCTATCTAGATTTTCAAGAATTGCTATATCCATACTCTTTTTTCCATTTTATCTGAGTATTTTGTTGAGCTTATTGCAGGATGTCTTGCTTCGGAGGATGTACGAACGGCTTCATTCGTTGATGAGATAAATTCTTATACCTATTCATACCCAGTGGAGCAGCCATCTAAGAAAATTTTTAAATGGTTGGTTTTCAGCATCAAAATTATGTGATATGACTTTCCACCTTTTTTATTTTATTTATGCTATAATAACTTAGGAATATGTTAAGAAAAATGTTGACTCCCTCTCCATCACTCTCACTCCTATTGGAAAAAATCCCCTCATTTACTTGCTTTAGACTAATTGACGCTATATATGCAGAGAACTGACGTATTATGATTTACAATCACAATAACACGAATCTTTGGTGGATTGAAATTACATATTTTTTTTAAAAGGTGTCATGTAGTTCTTAGAGTCTATTACACCTTCCATATCACTTTCAATTTTACTCAAGGAAGAGCAAACCAATTCTTCATTTATTTTTATCTATCGATGGCCTCAAGTTGTTGGAACATCACTAATTTTGCACTTTTCTGAAGGGTGGAATCTAGAAAGCCTGAAAGGTATTCATCAGCTGCCCCATTGTCTCGTAAGTCTTATTCAATCCCATCACTTGAAAGTGAAAAGTTCTGCCTGCTAAAGCATTTTTATCGGTATTACTTGTAGAATTTCAAGTTTTCTTGAAATAATTATAAAACGCGATTAGATTGTGGACACAAACTATATGATGGACTAACTATTTTATTTATATATAATGCAGCTGATGCACGTCTACGCATAGTGTCTGAACGTGTGGACTTTGCCGATAATCTCATAATTTCTGTTTCGGTAAGTTTATAGAACTGCATTTTTTTAATGTGATCCCTATTAATTATTTGGTGTTTTATGAATTTTATTTCATCCTTTGATTCAGATAGGTCCCCCGAATATTCAGTTTTTGAAGTCAAAGGATAAGAAGACATGGGCAGCAAAAGATGTTGCTGATTCTGTATTGTCTGACAAGTCTGCACTGGTAATTGAAATGATTTTCTTTTCTTGCCAAGTGCCAACTAGTGCATTGTTCATATTAAAATTTTGGCTCATTCACCCAAATATCCGATTAAGATTGAAATCTTTCTGATACGGAAATTTGCAAGAGAAACTATAAGAACCCTCAAAAAAAATGTAGACTTTAAATAAAATGCATGTCTCCAAGGTGCATCTTTGAACATTTTTGACGTTAAACTAAAAACTGCTTATGGATTCTGAACCATGCAATCAATGTATATATATACACACACAAAATCTCTACTATTTTGACATTTAAATGAATGACTAAATAAATAGATCTATCAAGAAAGGATCTTAGATTTAATTTCTGAAAACTTAACCTCGCTAAGTTGATTCTCATTTGACATTCTACATCGTTTGGAAGCGTGTCACCTCAAGCCAGCGGATGAGCGAGAGTTCTGTTCTTGATGCGCATGCCAGTGAAGTAAGCTTTAAAGGCCTTCTTTAATTTTTTATTGCCATTTAGCTTTGGAATAAAAGTGTCTTACATATTTCTTTTCCCTTTTTCTCAGATTGATGGTGAGCTATATTGGTACTATGAGTACCTTGTTCGCAAATCACCAACAAAATCCGTAAGTGCTCCCTTTCAACAGTTTCAATCAGTGCAAAGATGTGTCAAGCTTCCTTTTCTTTTTTGGAATGTTGATGCATTTCGTGGATATTTGCAGGCTCAAGAAGCAAACCTATACCGACATTATGTTGCTTCAACAGCTGAACGGGAAGGTAGGATCGTAAAATCTCTCTTTGTTCCTCATTTTCCAAAAGGTGTAGTTGTTTTATGTATCCATTAAAATCGTTGCAACCCAGTTTGTTTTTTAATTTCTCATTAGTTCTGAAATCTAATTTGAAACTTCCTTGGTAGAGCCATGATGCCCTAGTATTTTAAAAAGAAAATAAACCACATAATCCAAATTTTGAGGAACATAACTCATCTGCTAAAATCTCCAACATTGGGAAGAGGAAGGAGAATATATAGAAAGATGCATCATACATTTAAGCACAGTAACCTTTGCTACTGTGGTTTCATAGTCAGTGTATGAGACTTGAGATAGTCTCTTCACGACATATCTGACTTATGTTTCTATTTACGACGCTTCTTCATATCATCTTCCGTTGTCATTCAAAAGTGCAAATGTCTATTGCAGGTTATCTATACTCTCTAAATGCTTCAACTCTTAGCAAGGAGTGGACCGAGGTCACCCTCTTTCTCTATCCCTCTCAACAATAACAAATGAACATCAGTAAACTATTTCTAATAAAAGGACATAAGAATGAGAAGAATGAATGTATCAGATGGTCATTATAAAGTCTTTATTTGTGTACGTATGTATGTGTATATATCATTCATCCAAAACTTACCAAGTGAATTTTGTACAATACAGATGGGTCCCTTTTTGGAACAGACGGTTGCATCATTTCGCCTTCTTCCTCCCACTGATAATTATGTTCCTCCATACAAGGATCCATGGAGATTTTGGTGACAACCCCTTTTTTCCTTTTTGTTTCTATTGATGATAATAAGTGTAAAATTTTAAGGGTTTCAACACTGTTATCATTGATTCATCTCCTCTTTTTCCTCCCCCCCCCCCTCTTATTGTGGATCACATTCGGAAATTGAATTGAATGAAGCTGTGGTTAAACAATTATCATATGTTTCAATCCTGTACTAGAAAATAGCTAAGAAGCTAGTGTCTTTACGTGTATAAATTGTATCTTCTGTCTTGAAGATCGGCATTTATATGAATGGAAGAATTTTGGCTTAATGGTGTGCACGAAGCCCTTTAACTTGTAAAAAATCTTTTTTTAATCCAGTTGAACCGTCAAACTAAGAAATTAAATCAATTGAACTTTTGAATTGAGAAATTGAAACAATTAAACCTTTTGATCAATTTTGACGATTAAGTTTTACTAGTTTTTTTTATTAAGATTATTAAAATTTGCAGATTTTTTAAAGAAAATTTTTAAAAAGATTATTAAAATTTTAAAATAATTTTAAAAAATCTGAAAAAATATTAAAGCATATATATATTTTAAAAAATGTCAAATTAAATAATTTAATAATTTTATCAATAAGGGTACGAAAAAAGTTGGGCCTTCTGTTCCCTTGAGCCAATGTCAAATTTGTTACATTTAGTAGGTTTAAAATTCAATATTTACGGCCCTACAAACTTTCATCGCAATATAAGAAGCTGAAGAGGTAAAAGGTGCTTTAAATATAAACAAGCTCATTCGTTTCGAGCAAAGAATAAGAAAATGTAATTAAACCTACCTTTGCATTTTCAAAAACTATTTCCCCTTCCCTAGACCTATTACCCTTTGTTTTACATGAAACACAGGCACCGCCAAGGAACTCTTACATGAACAAAGGCCGGGCAGGTAGCAGGTTTGGCCTAAAAATCAAAGCTTGATAGCAAGTTAGTCTTGCGAGGTAGCAGAATACTCGAAAAGAAGGCGTTTGGAAGGGGCGGATGGTAGGAGAACTCGCTGACGACTTGTAAGCTTGTATATCAAGGTCCATTGCATAGCCATCTCCGAGTCTTTCAGCTGCCTTACCATAGAGGCCTAAGAGAGGGATGAAAGCACCAGGTAAGACCAAAATTCAACACTGATTAAAGCTTGTATAAGAGCTTTTTAGCCACGTCCAAATTATTAGTGCAGAATCAAAGCACCTAAAAACAGTTTCACAATGTTGGTTTTTTGTTCCCCCACCTTTTTGTTCTTCACTTGCATGAAGGAAGAGCTCCTTATACGAAATGGAATAATAATTACAAAACAATAACTGGATAGAATTAAGATTTACCTGCAGACGTTTTCCAACCTGAACTTCAACTTCTGTTCCAAAGGATATGTTACTGGCCAAAGATTTGAGAGGATCAGCTGATGGATCAAAAGAGAGCAAACCGGGGATTTGTGGGGCATACACAAGCCTCCACCTGGTCTGACCAAACTCTCCCTTCCCTTCTATTCTTGGCATCAGTGTTTCAAGTGTTGCGGTTTCAAGTTTTTTAAATGCAAGTTGGCCATCGCCTTCCAATATGGACTCGGCCAATTGACTCTCAAACACTCTAGCAGCCTGTGCAAGAGGGGAAAATTAAAAACAAACCACTATAACCCATGAGATCAGAATTTTTATCTGAATTTGGCAACTCAAGATGATAAACCACATTAAAACCAAAGGAAAAAATTATCCAGATATCCAAGCAAAACTTATAAATGCCTTGCCACATTGTATCACATGCGGCAGCAAGATCAGACACATGAATTGTATATGAATGAAATTACAAAAAAAAAAATAGATTCAACTTTGCTATTCTGTCTAGAGCAATTTTTCACATCATAGGGAAGAATTTTCATGTAACATCCTAAACACCGAGCTAGTGACCAAAATGTAAAATTTTAAAACTTTATGGTCAATTTTGATAAATTAAAAAGTTTAGAGATTTAATTGGAAATTATTTGTGTAGGATTGATTAGCAAGAATTGAAAGAAGGAAGGGTAAAAAGGTATTTAGTCAAGAAAATGAATTTAAAATTTATTCTTTGGGGGAAAATGAATTTAAAATTTATTCTTTGCGTATTATATATTTACATGGAAGGAAATGAGTAAAAGGAAATCTAGAATTATCTTCATCTTTCTTCCTTCTCTCCACCGTGACTCCAACTAAGGTAAGAGATCTTTAAGTATGCTATTTCTTGTAATTTATGATTGATTTTGATTCTTGGAGTGTTAGGAAAGCTTGAGAAAGATTAAAGAGAATTAGAAACTAAAAGATTTACAAGTTATGGATGATTAAATAAAAAGGGTTGTTGAGTGAATTGTTGAAAAAGAGTTATTAATGGATTTTGAAGTCATATTTGACTTGTCATAAGATGGAATAAGAAATCTAAAGTGTTAGAAATGGATTTGGGTTATGATATTATTTGGTATGATTTTTAGTTTCAAGTGATTAGGTGGGATTTTGGATATTTATGTGTGTTAAAGTGTTATAAGTTAGTCTTAATAAGTATGTTGGAGTTTAAAGGTCTGAAAGTAGTTAAAAGAGTGGGATTTAAGTAAGTTTTGGTAAATTTTTGAATTGAAATAGGTGATTTATGAGCAAGGGTATCGGTACTGGATGAACAATACCAATACTTCAAAGCAAAAATGAGTGAAATCTGAGTTTAGGTATCGATACAGGAAGAACAATATCGATACCATAAGGTAAAGTTGTATAAAGTCTTAAAAGAGTATCGATACTGAAGGAGTAGCATCGATACTAATGGACAAGTATCGGTACCATATTTAGAAGTCGAATTTCAGAATGTAGAATGGGTATCGATACTGAAGTATGGTATCAATGCCATAGTGAGGAAGTATCAGTATTGGGTCTAGGGTACCGATACTATTCAGATTGAAATTTGAATTAAGTGTTTTGTTTAAACTTAAGTTAGTAAGGATTGATTAATAATAATATGAGCTCCGATATTCATTTAGATCGTATTATTGTGTAGATACTAAATGAATGCAAGTATAAGATGAATCGAAGTGATAAGACCGTTCAAGAGTTATAAGTGTTTTGCTTTGACTAAGTGAGGCCAAGGTGAGTGCAAACTACTATATATATATATATATGGTTTTATGGAAATAAGACTTGCGATGAGTTTATTTTTAATGTTTTGAATACATGTTTACATGAGTATATAATATTTTGATTTCATTACTAAGTGAATATGCATTGTATGCATTTTATAATATGTGAAATTAAACTATGTGATTATATGAATACATGTTTATATGATATAAGCATAATTTTAATTGTGATACTACGTGAACATGCACTGTTTATGTTGCATACTACGTGTTATTGATCTATGTGATGATATGAACATGTGATACAAACTATGTGAAATGTATAAATGGTAAAGCCCAAAAGTATGAGATATGAGAGCTAAAGGTATAATTGGCATGTCAAGAGTTGAGGGTTCTATACGGTCATTCGAGACAATTCTACGTGGTCCTTTGGGACATTTTTACACGGTCATTCGGGACATTTATGTGGTCCTTCGGGACATTTCTACGTGGCACTTCAATGCATATTCTACGTGGCACTTTGGTGCAATTTATATGAGCAGTGGCGACTTGCATTAGTGCACAACCTCAATGCACTCATATACCTTAAGTTCTCAATGATGTACATTGGGCTTTTAAAAGAATAACATAAATGACAGTGAATGATGTTATATGTTCTTGTTTAGTGAAATGTATGATGGTTTCTGTTGTAACACCCCCAACTCGTATCCGACCAGGATACGAGTCTGAAGTGTCACATTGACTTTTCGAAAATTTATTTGTATAAAATAGTGAGTAATTTAAAAACTTTTATAACATTTAAATTATTCAAAACATTTACAAAATTATTCAGAGCTTATACAATATATTCTTTTGATTACATTCCAACTAGAACTTTATGTACAAAAATACATATTATTCACCTCTCTTTTGATCTGACATTCGGTAAGGAGAACTGACCTGTCTTGTTCCTCTTTACTTTTCTTTTCGCTTTCCAAACCTACGTGTGAAACAATCACACGCTAAGTCGATGACTTAGTGAGACATATAAAATATAATATTTCATATAACATAAAGCATACATAAACATATACCATCATTATCATAATCTCTATCATTATCATTAAGAAACACACATAACATCATATGGTTCATGTAACACATTTCAAACCACTTACCTTTGATAACCATTTATAAACCCATCGTATACATATCACATTCAGTATGCTTGTTTAATCACTTTATTAGCCCATGTACACTAGTGAGAACTTAAGGTATGTGAGTACATTGAGGTTGTACACACATATGCTGTCACCACAGCTCGATCAATGTCCCGAAGGACCAGTCCATAGATTCCGAAGAACCTAGGTAATCAGTCCATATGTCCCGAAGAACATAGGTAAACAATCCACATGTCCCGAAGAACATAGGTAAACAGTCCATATGTCCCGAAGAACATAGGTAAACAGTCCATATGTCCCGAAGAACATAGGTAAACCCTCGACCCTTGGCATGCCAACTATACCCCTAGCTCTCATATCACATAACATGGGCATTATCATTTATAACAGTTCACATTACTTATTCATATTCTTTCTCTTATAAACACATATATTTTCTTTTCAGTCACGTATCACATGTACGTGTAATCATTGATCTCATAATCACATGTTCCTTCTCTTCTGTCACATACCACATGTATGTGTAAACATATATCTAATATCATATGTTGCATGTAATCACATAGATCGTATCATATAGCTTCTTTCACATATACATGTAATCACTTAGTCTATTTTCATGTAATTCTTTTCACTTCTCATATGATTTTATATTCATATCTCACATAGCTCATATCACCTTGCATTGTTTCATATAAACATAGATGTCATATCTTGTTCGTATATATTTTCTATATAACTCATATATCTCATAGTTCTTTTACATAGCTCACTATCATATTTTCATATCATATATCTTATAATA